CAAAGGATCAACTTCAAATTTATTCACCTACCAACTTCGATTATTATGTTTCACCACATGAGGCAGTCACTTTGATGTCATATGAAACTTTTAAACGCTGTGAATGGAGCAAAACTCTGCGAGATTGACACTTTTGAGCACCAAATTAGTCAACAGACTCCATAAACACCTTCATATAAAGTGATGTTATAAGCTTTATTTGCTCCTGATGATTGACATGTTTATTAGCTACGATAATGACGAGCAAGAAAAGACTACAAGAAATCAATAAAGCACCAGCATTGTCTCTTGAAACCAGCTTGGCTGTATTTTCACAATTTATGTAGCCAGAGAGCTGACCCATTTTACGAGAAACGCAAATGGTAGCAGTGAATAACGACTGAAGACGTGATTAATTCAGTTTTAATAAATTCTTTTGCTTTTGAAGCTTGAAAGCGCGAAAAACTTTTAGCTGAGTAAATTAAATAATTTGTAATAGAGGCGCTATGAAATTAAGTTTTATACACCAGACGAATTATGTTCAAAATAAATAAAAGGAAAACCAAACTCACACTAGTGTCTGCACTTCATAATTTTGTTTTCTACGCCTTCAGAATTCTAAAGGAGCTGCTGAACTCCACTGGAAGCAAATTGGGACGTTAAGAGTGTCACTCTTTCAAAGGATCAGAAGTAAAGTTTTACTGGAAACAAATAAAAATTCCGACAACGCGAGTCACTATTAATGCAAATACAATTTCCGTAAATACTCTAGGGGACGAAGTTTAGATTTTAGCAAAATTGCAGAACTTACTCAAAGGTTTTTAGAGACAGCAAATCCAAACTGTTTGCGATAAGTCGTAGTTAGCAACTAAACGAAAGCAAACTAGTTTAAGTTTAACTAACATGGACCGATTATACTTATAAATTATAACACTGATTCATATTCCTTGACTGTATCGATCATTTTCTGTGCGAGATGTTTTTCCACCGTACTTAGTTTTTGAACATGTTTAACTTTGTGGATTGAATTTTATTAGCGTCAGCTTTTGTCATTCCACAGGTAATGTCAAATGTGAAATTAAAAAAAAAAACTTGTTTTCGTTTTTACCATTCACGGATCTCCGGCACGGATTCTCAGTGGTTTCAGAATTATGCTAAGAACTAGAATTTATTCTGACAATTTTATTAAATACTCCTATCATATATGTGTATTATAATCTTGTCAATTATCCGCGATGTCCAAACTGAGGAAAAAATACCAGAAAAATTGTTTAGAGTAGTTTGTATAACGGCACAACAAAACATTTTTAATTATTTTCAATTTCGGAAAAAAATTAGCAGACATCGGATCTCTTAGATCTGTTATCTACCCTGTCACTGGTATCATGGATTATGCTATTTTCTAGATTAAGTGAGCGAAGAAGACATCTAACAAAATGACCAGTAGTGACAGTGTAGTTTTCAGTGATCTTCTTTTTTCGATTACGATTTTTACCAAAAGAAGAATTAAAATTTGACCAATAAATTCATAATATGCAAAATACGATCCATTGGTAGACCTCATTAAACGGATTGCAACATTTGTTTTTAAGTGGAATTTAACTTCTTTTGAAATGGTTATTGTTTTCACAATACAATTTACAATAAGTTGCATAATGAAATTTACAAGGGAATTCGAGTTTAAAGTGCTATTTCAGTAATGGCTAACATGGTCAAGTTGATTGTATTTTCCTCCAACAATAGGCGGTTTCCATAATTCCCGGCATTGATGAAAAGAAAGTTTCAAACAAGGTTTATTCGAAATTTTTATTATGTAACGTGATACAAATTTTGTGTTTGCGTTTTAAAATTTTGTTTAGAAAATACGTATAAACTTTCCAAACAAGAATAGAAAACGCCAAATAAAAGAATAAAAGTAGTTTTCAGTTTGACATTACTAGTTTAAGTTGTTCTAAAACATACTTTATCGATTTCCAGATAACAATGATGGGAAATAGATAGATAGTTCAACGGTGACGATTATTAATAAAACAAGATACGCAACTTAAATACACCCATAATAAAAAGTAAAACATTTAAAATTCTTGTGTCAAAAACTAGTTATTCAATGAATACAAAAACAAGATCATCATATTTCTTTTTAATATATATATTTACTTTCATGACCCTTAGAGAATGAAAAATTAGGTCGCCTGCTTCCGTCTTGTCTGTCGTCTGTATCGATTTATATTTGACATTAGATAATTTCCGAAACTACTGGACCGGTTGTTGTCAAATTTTATAAGTACATATATATGTATATTGGGAATATCGTGTAGATGGCAAAACGCTAACCAAAATTTGTGTTTTCTGTATACAGGGTGTTTTTTTTTATTTAATACAACTTTGTAACTTTTTTATTTTTGAAGATCGATCGTTTGTTCTTTGGATAGATTTCTATTGTACTGTAAGATCTATTTGATGGTAAACAAATTCTTTAATTCTGACTTATGTTAACACCGGAAATGGCATCAATTTTACATTTTTAAATAGAACATCCGATATATTTTTTAATAAATGAATACATTTTGTACCACAAAAAATCAAAAGCAACCAATATTCTAAAATTAATAATAAAAAAGTTATTTAGTAAATAGATGAAAAATTTATGTCTTCATGAAAATCTAGAAGCCCAAAAAATTAACAACCATGTTTTCATTCACTTAGTTGCATTAAATTTAAATAAAAAAAATCTTTGTTTGCTTAAAAACAAGAATTTATTTTTTTAATATTCCGAATGTTTTTTTTTTGTAAACGTCCAAACTAGCAGAACGGGCCAAGAATTAAATTCGAATACTTATAACAACAAGAGTACAAGTATTTCTCACAATAAATTTTGAAAAAATTTGTTCGACGCACCTTTCATTTGTGGAATTCGCTATAAACTTGGGTTTAATGTTGTGCAAATCTTTATGACGCGTTGTTTCAAGATATCTTTGTCTCTCCATCCATCAAAGTAAACATTATCTTATTATTATCCTCAAAGAAAATAATCAATGGGGTTCAAATCAGGCGATCCTGAAGGCCATCCTATTGGGCCTGTACTCCCCATCCAACGGTTTTGAAACATTTCTGTTAAAAAAATATCCACGTTTCTTACACTGTGAGGTCGTGCCCCATCCTGTTAAAAATACAAGTTTTGAACGTGATTCAACGGTAAGGTATCTAAATAATCTTCTTCCATTTGGGCAGAATTCGTAAATATTGGTCGCCATTCAGGTTGATATCCAAAAAAGTATGGTCCAATTATGGCATTATTTACCGTGCCAACCCGTACATTAAAATTACAAGCTCTTTGGTTTCGCCTTGTTTTAAATAAATGCAAATTTTCGGTAGACCAGTAGTGAGTATTGTGCCTTCATTGGTGAACGAAGTTTCGTCTCTCCAAATAATGTTTTTAAACAATAATTGTACTTCTTAGCTTCTTCATTTTTCTTCAAAATATTGAGGGTTAATACTGTAACGGAAATTACCAAAATGTGATATCCTCTTCGTTAATATTTTCGAATCTTCTCTTTTTCTCTTTAAATTAACCTGTATTTTTTAAATTATCATTACTGTGTTTTTTGTAAATGCTATTGTTTCAATTGAATTCATTCATCCAATTATTTATTATGTATTATGAAACAAGAAAGACACCCTCGCACACATTTTAGACTTTTATTAAAATATCCCTACCGCTACCTTTCATTCAGGGTTACCATTCTCCACTATTTCGTACTGAAAGTTTTGCCACATTTGTTCTTAGTTAAGGATATTAAAAACAAATGTTCTTTGATTATCATGAGTATTATCATCATCTGCATATATGTTGCATTATTTTCGACATTTGTTCCAAGATAAAAATCTCTACAACTTAGATAAAAAATGCAAGATTTATTTATAAGATTTCATCACCAACACATTTCCTACTTACTACATTTGATTCCTCTCTTTCGTACATAGATCAAGGTTACTTAAATAAGTGATTCCAATTTCAAAATAGATGTTACGAAAAATCACTGTTAATAATGATTCTTCGTGATGGGTTTGCACACAAATGGTTAATTATACACAGCAAATGTTATCGACTGACAATTTTAAATTTTAATCATAGTGTCTGGAAGAAGTATAAAAATTGAGCACAACTTTAGAGAATTGAAACGATATGTGTCTGTATTTTATCTCGTGCCCTCATCGTAAATTACCTTACGATATTTAGAAATTGCAGCTATTTTTCGATAACGATGTAATTTGGTAAACGCGTTTTGCTTTAGGATGTCTGTTCGAGGCGACAGTTGCGTAATGGTCTGATCGATGTCACTTATAACTGCGTTGACTTGCGGCTTTCTATAACATTGGTTGTGGCAGCATCCGGAGCGCGCCCGGAGTTCGTGTGTGCGTTAATTTCAGACCGGAGATTCTCAAGCTCTGTTTAGAACCAATATTTGTGGAGGCCTCCTTTGTCGATATAGCATAACCGAAAGGCCAGGCGTTACGTGCGCTAAATCTCAAATCGTCCACTTTATTAGTTTACACATCTCGCATTGTCTTTACATAAGGTTGTTTTTGTCTCTTACTTGCGCATCTCGGATTAAGAGAGAAGACGCTAAAGACGTGCCGATACTACGCAACCGGAGTCCGTTATTAGTTGCGGTGATGGACTAAGAGATCCCGGACGATCTGAGTCGGTGGTAGTGGCGCGAGGTCATGGTCCGTTGTGATAAAGAGATTATTAGATTTGAATTGGAACAGGGTTGTTTCTCACACAAAGACCCGAATACGCCTCAACGATATACTGGCGAATTACTTTTATATTCGTGCCGATGAACCGCAAATAAAAGAGACGTGGAGATCTTTTATATAGCTATTTTATCATATGGAGTAGTCTGAATGAAATTGATGTTGGATTTCTAAAGCGGGAGGGTTGAATTTATCGCAATGTAAACAATTTATTTTATCAGACTTCCTTCTATAAAAAATTTACATTTCACTCTTTTCAGCGCCGCCATCATCCGTTGAAATTTTAGACCACCGGCATAATTCAAAGATTGAAATAAAAGAAAATGAAGAGTTCCATCTCGAATGCAGAGTGCGAAATGCAAAACCAGCAGCAAAAATTGTCTGGTACAGAGGAAACGTAGAATTAAACATACGTAAGCACTTTAAATATTTGCTCAACTTAGGATGACAAACTTTTTCACTGCAGCCAATCGCGATGATCAAATAATTGAAGTTCCCGGGAAAAACGGGGACAAAAGGGTTACCAGATACGACACGCATTCTCGTATATCGTTGAAGCCAACAGCTGAAGATGATTATGCCGAATACACGTGCGAAGCGAGGCACGAAGCATTATCTTCCGACATACCTATGAGAACAACAGTGCAGCTTAGCGTATTTTGTAAGTAATTTCACTCTTTATCGTTTAACAGACTCTGACTCCGAATGTGCTCAGATCCGCCTGGTTTGCCATATATTGAGGGGTATACGGAAGGGGAGACTATTCGACGAGGCCAAACCGTGGAGTTGGTGTGTCGAAGTAGAGGAGGCAATCCTCCAGCCCAATTAATCTGGTACAAGAACGGCGAACAAATCCGAATGGCGTACAGAACGGCCGGAAGAGTTTCAGAAAACGTTTACACTTTCACAGCGGACGCCAGCGACAACAAGGCAAGATACAAGTGCGAAGCAAGCAACATCATGTCCAAATCTCCATTGAAAGCAGAAGTCGACATGACCGTTTTATGTAATTAGCTCCGAATATTGTCGTAACGTTCCAGTACTATTTCGTTTTTTTAGTTTCTCCAGCACATGTCACCATATCAGGTCCAACCGAGGCCAGAGTTGGCGATCCAGTTCCCTTGACTTGCACAACCGCAAAATCGAATCCGCCTGCGGAAATTAAATGGATGGTGGCCGGCAGACAGGTTAGAAATGCCACCTCCAGAACTGTTGTTTCTCCAGAAGGAGGCTGGATTACAACCTCCAACATCACAGCCGTTGTTGAACCTAACAGGAGAAGTTTAGTTGTAATTTGTCACGGACTGAACATGCAGTTAACAGAAAATGTAGTCTCTACACATACTATCAATGTTTTATGTAAGTCTTCTTCGTCGCCTTGGACGTCTTATAATGTATTCTCTTATAGATCCACCAAGTCCGCCTTTTATTCATGGATATACGGAGGGGTCGCATATACCGTCGGGAACTGTGCAAAAGATCTCGTGTACATCATCTGGAGGAAACCCTCTGGCAACTCTGACGTGGTATAAAAACGACAAGAAGATCAATTCAGTTATAAAAACGACTGACAAATCGGTAACGGCAGAAATAACGATCCTAACAAATGTTACTGACAATGAAGCCAGATACAGATGTGAAGCGGCGAATTCAGCAACCGAGATTCCATTATTTGAAACCATCACTATGAACGTCTATTGTAAGCGATTCATCATGATAGATTATTTTCTAATTTCGTCTAAACGTGTCTTTGTAGTTCCTCCGGACCATGTGAAAATTCGGAAAGATCCCGTGGAATTAAAACCAAACGAGCAAGCAACGTTAACGTGCGACTCGAGTTCAAGTAATCCCCCAGCTAAATTATCATGGTGGAGGGAAGGCATCCCCGTACAAGGTTTGTACAACACGACGAAAGCAGGTCTTCATGGAGGCACCGTGTCCACAATCGAACTAAAACTTAATATCACGGAACAACTTAACGGAATTGTTTACACATGTCAAGCTACTAATGAAGCCTTACAACGTTCCGTTCACGACGCCATCACTCTCCAAGTTTTATGTGAGGATAAACTCTTGGCGCTAATATGACATCTAAATTAATCCTACACTTTTAGACAAACCCGTTTTCGATAAAGATAACGAAGAAGCGGTCACAGGAGTAGAAGGCGAGCCACTAATCATCACGCTGAAAGCGGATGGCAATCCGCAAAATATCGCATACACCTGGACCAAAGACGGCCTACCGATTATACAATCGTCAACTAGTTCTGGTGTGGAACGGATCATCTCCGACGGTCCGGTTTTAAATATAACAAGATTAAGCAGACATGACGCTGGCACGTACACGTGCGAAGCGATAAATTCGCAGGGCAGTTCGGTCACTCAGATTAACATTACTGTCCAATGTATGTTCAATTATCTAACCATGTCACTCAGTTTTACAGTAAATCAAATTGCAGATGCGGCGACGATCGTTGCCACAAGCGAGAGTGTGATAGTAAATCCGAATGAAGATGCCACACTCTCGTGTACAGCGGATGGCAATCCGTTGTCTGATGATACGATTACGTGGAAAAGAGACGATTTTCCGGATTTCGATGCCCGCACTTCAGTCATGTATGATAAAAATGGAACGTCATATCTGAGGATAACTGATGTCACGAGGGACGATTTAGGAAATTTCCAGTGCACTGTCAACAACGGAGTTGGGAATGTTACAACAAAAGATGTGATGCTCATAGTGAAACGTAAGTAATCGAATTCGCAAATCGGTTTTTAATTCTAACGAGTTACAAACACAGATAAACCCGAAATCGACGAACATCCTGCTCTGCTGAAATTTGCAAGCGATGCGGGCGACACGGGGAAAGTTATTTGCAAGAGTCAGGCATCTCCTCTAGCTAGATACTCTTGGGCTCGATCAGGGTCGCCAATTACTGCCAACACCACAGGAAAATACTACACTACTTTTAGACAGGTGAGCTTGGAATAATCTCGATAGAGTGGCGGATTAACATAAAAGCTTTCTGCTTTTCTTTTTCTTCATTCTTCAACGTCGTTGTTTAAATTTTCAGATCGACGCTTTAATGTCTGAATCCGTCCTGTACATTACTCACGTAACTTCATCCGATTACGGTAACTACGAGTGCGTTGCGAGAAATGAACTAGGCTTTTCTACAATTTCACCGAGACTTGAAGTAACTTCTGCTCCAGATACGCCGACGCTTCTAACAATATTAAATGTGACTCACGATACCGTTACACTGGGATGGACACCTGGTTTTGACGGTGGCATGAAAGCCTCTTATCGCATTAGATACAGACAAGTAAATGATGATGGCTATAAATATGTGGACGTAGTGCCTCATAATGCGACTACTTTTACAATACGTGATTTGGAGGTTAACACACAATACGTGTTTTCCATTATGGCGATGAATAAATTGGGAAACAGCAGGTTTATTCCTGATCTATTGTCTGCGAAAACATCAAGTGAGTTTTTCTTTTGTTCTCTCGTTTCCCAATATGGCTTATTTCAATGTTCGCATTTGCACTAACTCGTTCTTTGTTTTTTCCATGCAATTCTTTATTAACGAACTAACACTAGACAAAGTACCTCCGTCTTATTCGTCACCCAGCTTAGATGAGAAAAACTTGAAAAACTTCCCCGGTTTCCTTGTAATAGTGGGCACTATTGTGGGCACCTTACTAATACTAATGAACGTCTTGCTAATTGGTTGTTGCTTACACAGAAGATCCAAGAAACGTGTTTCAGGTAATTAATACGTTTTATTTTCTTTTGTCCAGTGTACAGCGACCATATCGAGAAGACTATTCCGCCAGATTTGTTGGATAAACAGGATTTACCGAGAATTGTTATTATTAGTGTTTCTGTTATTGGTGTTTTCCTTTTAATTATCAACATCGGATTAGTTGCCGGTTGCATGCTTAAACGAAGAGCTAAAAGAATCCGAGGTTTGTTTTCACATTTGATATTTTATTTACTAGCGTATTTTATTGATCGCAGTAGTTTATAGATTTGTTTCATATTTTTTTCAGAACAAAGTAATCAGACTAGTAAATCGGCTACCATCGAAATGTATGCTCCGAGTAGCTACAACGATACCGTCACAGGTGAAACATTATCCTCAGTTAGTGAGAAAAGTGAAACTTACAGTAACGAAGGAAGTAACAACGACTACGTGGTAAGTTTTTTTTTTTTATAAATACTTTAGCATTTTTCATTTTTCACGACATGATCACTACTAATAATTCATATCAAATTTTCTGCTTTCTTTGAATAAACAACTCACTTGTGAATAAACCAAACTGACTCTTCAATTACTCATCAATATCTTCAACCAATGTGTATGTGAAAATGATGAGAACTCTGAAAGATTTATAGTTTCGGTAACTAAAGAATGAACCCATTCTAATTTCGTAAAACTTTAAAATGTTTGCAAAATAATATAATTAGATTAATGATCAGAGACAACAAGATGTTGAAAATTAGATGTGCATAAACATTCATAGTCTTTTTATTTGACAAAGTAGCTACATCTGTATAATCGTAAATAAATAAATTATTATAAATAGTTTTGCCTTAAAACTATAGTATTATGACGAGGAAGATTTTTCAAACCGCCGTCACTTTTTCTATGGGTTTTTTTTTGTTAAATTGTATATTACTAAGTCTTTAATTAAATAAGAATTTTTAGCAGAATAGGTTACCCCTGATCTTAGCTGTGTGAAAAATTCATTGTTTTCTGAGTGCAGGAACACAATTTAGAGCAGCTTAGGTAATGAAACTCGGAGTAAACTCTAGGGTATAAAAAATCGTTTCTAAACAACACTCACTGATTGCTTCGCATGGCAAATGTTGGTATCCAAAACTTATTTTTTATGAATATTTTATTGCATACTTTTAGCTGTTCATTTAACATAAATAATATTTGTCGTTAAAAAATTTAAAAATGTTCTAAACGTCTACAATAAACCATTGACACTTGAGAACGCGGAAATACCACTTACTTATGCACAACAGTGGGAATGAATAAACACATGCGTTTTTCACTGTGTTTTCTTCTATCAAACAAGCAACGCCAACTTGAGGACTTTTTCAACCGAACACCCGTTACTACAGAACAGTAGTGTCACTATTAAGAACGTCTGTATGAACAATATCTATTAAAAAATTGGTTTCGAATTCGAAAATTATATAAAAAAAGAAAACCGTGAATTAAAAAAATGAAAATTAAGTAGTTGTGTTAGTTACTTAAGTAATTGTACGTCGCACAATTTTCACGAAAAGTGGCATTTGTTTACGTCATACATATGTATGTTCTGTTCACGGGGGTAGGTGTTTCTAAAAAATATACACGTATGTAAATATATGCAGTAATTTAATATGCACAGACATGTATTTTCAATGTGGTACTTTGTTCTGGCATGAATACAGTTTATTGTAAACAGGACGTAAGCCAGATTTGTTCCGGGAATTAGTTACTGTTCGGGTTGTAATATACAAAAAGAAAACAACAAAGTGCGTTCTGTTGTTTTGCGTTTTTTAAAAATTTCCATATGTAAGTACTGCGTCTAATATACCGGATTTCAAACATTTTTTGAAGAAAGTGTAAGTTATATATACTTACATAATTTGAATAATTGTAGCTCCAACTGCTTTACAGTTATTAAGTAGACTAATACATGTGTTCATTAAAATTTTTTGCATTATTTATTATTAGACCGTGGGCTTTGAAATTGATTCTACTAAAACTGCACAAAACAAAAATAATATGACGTAATTTTTTCACACATAATTTTAAAACAACGGACTAGTTTGTACCAGGCAAAATATTACTTTTCGTTGTTTCTTTACTAGAAATAGTAATAGTAATAACGATATAAATGGAACGCAAAGTAACGCCTGAATATTTTTGCCAGGAGGATGGCCGTAAACAAGCAACGAGCACTTACCTCATGGACCAACAGGACTACCCAGGTGCGTACCCAGTGTGTCCCAGTTATGAGCTTCAGATGCAACCTAACATGGCTCACAAAACTCACACTCTTCCTCATCCTCATCATCACCACCAGCATCATATGCATGATAGGACCAGAGCTAGAGATGACCAAAGCCTTGGCTATCATGGTACTATGTCAGGTAACTAACTCGCTTGCTACCTACCTACCTACTAACGATCGCCTATTTGAAAAATGCAAACATTAGCTGCTTGAAACTGGTTGGTTCATGTAGCTAGGTGATATCTAATTGTAGTTTTGCAAATAATGTTAACCACTAAAAATTTGTTAATATTTTGTTGCCAAAAGTACTTTCAAATTAGTCTACGAGAAGATTTATAGTAAGCAGTAAAGTGTTAATACAGAGAGACAGTGTGTTCAGATTATCTATACATAGATTAAATACTTTAGATTATTATCTAAATGAAAATATGATCTGTTATTTGTTACTTTTACTGTACTGTTACTATTTTAAATGTACAGATATATTTTTCTCTATCTAAATAATTATGTTTTAATTATGTCTCGTATGTGGGACTTATATATTGGAAAATGTATTTTTGATTTAGTGAATTGTACTTTAGCTAGATCCTATGAACTCGAAAATGCCAAGAAAACCTTCAAATTTTAGCGAGATCAAATCTCTGTTAAAATGTATGAGTTTTAAGCTATATTTAGGCTTGTTTTACATATTCTGAACCTCTTGTCATATGCAAAATCAGTTCATTTGGCGAAAAGAAGACGATTGGGTATAGTTTCTACGTTTGGCGCTTGTAGATTCAAGGAATTAGTTCAAAAATCTCAGAAATGTAACTTTTGATGTTTCCTCGTATCATTTCATACTTATTTAGTAAAACAAATGATTTGATATGATTTTATGTCTCAAAAATCAAATACAAAAAAATTGTGTGTCATCTCTAATAGTAAAAATTCGTTGAAAACATCTCCAATTCTTTAAGAAAAGTATACAGTGGGCGGTTTTTGTTACTCCATACCTTTTGTCCGCTCAAGTAACTTGGCTTTAAAATAATCAAATATAACTGATTAGCCACACCTGCACATAATAACTGAAAAATTATTTTCACTGAACAAAAAACAAATGTTAATGAACTAGAAACACCGTTATCTTTCTATAACATTCTAAATTAATTATTTATGAACTTTACGCTGTCATCTTAGTGTGAACTCACTGTAACAAAACGAATTATTTATTGTCTTCATTTTGATGATTTAAAATCATCTATTGCACAACTCCGTAGTTGAACGCACTTTGACAATGTACATTCGGGCCATGACTTTATAAAATATGTAAATCAAATTTCAGCAAAATCGTCGTACGTGAGTGCCCCATCGCCAGCACCTCCAGCAGACGGGTCCTATTACAACATGTCCGACCGCTATCTTTCGTATCCACCACCTCTAGATTTTCAAAATCCGCCTCCAATACCGGCACATCCTCACGTGGGTCATATGCACAACCCGGTGACACCGCCTCTTCCGGCCAACGGATCTCTTCTCCGCCATCAGCGAGGTGCCGTTCCACCGCCAGACGTTTTACACAACACCAGCCAGAATCCCCAAATTCTCCAAGCTCAAACTCTTGCTCAGAAACGAGAACTGACTAGTTTTGGTAATGGTTATGGTGTTAATGAACAAGAAGGACATCTTGTCTGAGACAAGGAGGATATTTTATATGTCCTGTAAAATATAAAGTGCGACTGATGCTCAATTTCGGTGTATTGAGCGGTTAATAGACTGTGAATTAAAAAAGGACTCATTTCAAACGAATTTAAATGAAAGCTAATATCACTGCAATATAAAGACATAAGTAATCAATTAATAACAGTGTATTTTGCTAATTTTACTTAACAAGAACTCTGTAAAAACAATTGATAGTGTTGTTTGGATATATTGTTAAATGTTGAATTATTGTCAGTACTGAATTCGATATGCGTAAGAAGATAATATAAATTATAGAAACCATTAATTTTCGTTTGGGGTTACACATTTTATTTTATTTTTGCTACGTGTGAATACTGGCTGAACAACCAAACCGATGTTAAAACAGCGGTTATAATTTTAGTTTGACGATTGATTTTTTTTAGAAAATACGTATTATCTCCTTATGCTTAGCAATAATTTAACGAAATGAATATTTCGTTACGAAATATAAAAAATGAACAAATAACATGCCAACTGATAATCAGTTTATTTAATTAATAAATTAATGTGATCGTTGTATGTAAAGAACCTATTGTTATTTTTGTAATGAAGCCTCTTATATTGCCCACTTAACAGTTTTATTTTAAGTTATAGAATTTAAGTTCTTTTTGTACATACTTTTTACAATTTTTTTATATGAGTAAAAAATGTTATTTACTAGTCCAATCCAACAACCAAAGTGTTACTTCTTTGTACATGAATTCTCTTAAGTTTGAATATAATTCTATTTTTCGAATTTTATGAGTCAACATTTCCTCAACTTTTGTAAGTATCGATTTAATTTTCCTTTTTCTTGCGTCTATTTATTTTATTTTCTTTTATGTACACAACTTTGTTACGTTAATAAATTTTGTACCTATATTAGGAAAACAGGATTTTTTATTTATTTTCAAACAAACTTGTCCTCGTTTTATTCCTTACTTGTTTTCGTGCAAAATCAAACAAAATGAGTAGCAAAATATCAAACCAAGCAATATGAACAAATGGACAATTCAAATCCGTACGATGACGATTTCCTTCTGAAATGCTTTCGGTGTGATTTTCAAAAAATTTCTGGCGCTGTTACCTCAACAGGCATAATCTTCGCAGGTGAATGACAACGAATTAAGTCATGATTTCCCCATTGGAGGTCAGCAATTTTTTGAAATTACATAAAACAGCTAAACAACGGACAAATAGGGTATGAATATAAATTTCTCATAAATACGAAAATGTTTACTGCAAGTTATCATTTGCTGAACACATTTTTAAATAAAATTGTTATAGTCGAAAAAACAATCATTTTTATAGACTAATAAATCTTTTATAGGTGGAATAATGTAACCCCTTTCATTTTAATCCATTTAATCAAAGTTGTAAATATGTAACAATGTAATATAAAATATGAAACTAATACCTTCCATTTTGCCATTGTAATAATAATAATAATAATAATAATAAATGTTTGAAAGTGCCTTTAATATTAATACAATCCGCTGTGTATTATACTAGTGCAGTGTTTTCTGTTTCGTTTATCAACTAAACTGTGGCAAATTATTTGAATAGACAACTGTAAATATTTAAGTCAATTCTCTAATTACTCGAATTTTATAACAATATTTTTCTCAGTGTGCTTGTAATTTGGAGAATTGGTTTTACAGCTGTTCGTTATATTTTCCCTTATTGTTGTTAATATGGATGAATGCTCATTGTAAAATATACTGTTGAATTGTCCAGTCAATATAAACTTGTATGTCTGTTCATCTCATATTGTATATTGTTAAAATTTATGAATATTAAATAACCATAATTATGTGTTTTTATTTTTTTTATTCCTAAATAAGTATACGGAACTAAATTATACGTTAGCTAATTTTTTGCAGTTAAAGGGTTGTTTGTTTCACTATTATAAAAATACCGCTTGTTTGGAAAAAAAATCGCAGTGTTATTGAACCAAATGGGAGGAAACGGGAACTGCTTGATTATTAAGAAGTGACCCATCAAAATTAGGTGTACGTCATCATACAACTCTTGCTCAGAATATATACAATGGAGTATGGAAATAGATCTTTACAGGACCAATGATAGATATATTGCCGCCCGGAACAAAGTGACTGTATGCCGCCCCTCCACTTTCCTTAAATATATTTTTTACATGTACATGTAATAATTTTTTCAATTTTGTCATTATTTGGCATCGACATCTTTGTCATTTTTTTTGTGTGATTGCTTTGATTGCTTATTAAAAAAAAAAAATTGGACGAAGTCGTCTCTGGGGTGTATAAGATTATTATTATTATTATTATAATTAATTGATCAACGGGCGTTTAGCCCATTTATAGATCAACATAATAGAACAAACAGAATGAAAAAATACAAGAAAAAGTACAATTAGAACAGTTGTCCGACTAATCAGCAGCTATAATTACTGCTACCCCCTAAAGGGATCGGAAAACTGAAGATTAATCTTATCTGAGTAAATCAAAAGCGTCTTGCTGTTCGTGATACTCCGAACACATTGCGTAAATGGGCGACTATTTAAGAACGTCAATACGTGGAATTGATAAATAAGAAAAATGTGGAGACCTAGCAGAAGGTCTAGGTACACCAAAGCAAAGTTGACCCAGAATCAGTGGACAGTCAATATCATTCCGAATGATTTTCTTAAAAAAGAAAAGTGAGGCTTTATCACATCTCGCTTTCAAGTCAACGAAATTAAGTCTTTGTAAAAGATCCGAATGAGGTGTCCCTCTCACAGGATACTTAACATCAACCTTGAACGCCAAAAATTTTAGAAAACGCCTCTGCATTGTTTCGAGAGCTAAAGTATGGGTTTGAGCAGAAGGGGCCCACACAATGCTTGCATATTCCAACTTCGACCTCACGAAAGCAAAGTATAAGGCTTTGAGGGTGTCTATGTTCTTGAAACAACCACTCGATCGAATAATAAAACCAATATACGTATAAGCTTCCGAAGCTAGGTTGCCAATAGGATCAGCGAATGTTAATTTGTAGTCAAAAGTAATCCCTAGATCGCAAAAGGACTCAACTCTAGACAACGGCGAGGAGTTATTATATAATCGTACATTATTCAATGATTTTTGTTCGTCATTGACATGATACGACATTTGTCAAAGTTTACTGGGAAGTAGTTAGATATACTCCAAGTAAGGAAGCTGTCCTTTCGTAATTTCGCACAGTCACTTATATTAGAAACGCGTTTGAAAATCTTCAGGTCATCAGCATATATCAATACCTCAGAATTTAGGTTCTTAATAATATCATCAATAAAAATTATGAAAAAAAACGGACATAAGACTGAGCCTTGGGGAACACCCGAATAAACGGGGAATTTACCAGATTCAAATCCATGGTATTTAACGCACTGAAATCTTGGTGATAAATACGATTGAATTAATTTTACTAAGTGACGAGATAAACCGTTATTATGAAGCTTCATCAGCAGAATGTCATGGTTAAGCCTGTCAAACGCTTTGGAAAAATCTGTGAAGATTACGTCAACTTGTTCCTTATTGTCGAAACTATTCGAAACATACTTAGTGAAACAACATAAATTTGTTACCGTAGAACGGCCACTTCAAAATCCGTGTTGTTATTACGACAGGCACGTAACCAGCCTTTTATTTTGGAGGGGCCCAGCCCGGGCACTAATTTCAAATAAGGGGGCCTTTAAAAAAAGTCTTCAGTAGTATAAATCAACATTTTACTTGGATCACAACCACTATATAACCTTAATGGGGTGCAAATAGTTGAAATTGACTAACACCATGAGAATTCATTTAAATTCTGCGTGCCAATCTGCATAGTGTGTAAAAGGTATATCAATTGTATCGGCTAATTGCTTAAAAAAGTTATCGACAACACTGTTCACAGCAGTATCGCTTTACTCAGAGAGTTATATTACAAGGTAGGAACATAAGATTACTCATAGCTAAAATTTACTGTTGATCTGAAATTTCGAATTTGCTTTATTTTTAAAATTTAAAATTAATTTAAGGGGGCACCAGGAGTGGCACAGGGTTTTTCTGGGGTGCCCCCCCCAGCCCACCCCCCTTGGTTACGTGCCTGGATTACGATATGTAGTTATGTAGATTAAATGCCACAATTTTATGTAAGATATATTCAAAAACCTTTTAGAAATTGCATAGTAATGAGATGGGTCGATAATTATCAATTCAGTCTCTTCTATCTTTTTTGAAAATAGGCGCGATAATTGAGAGTTTCCAAACATCAGGAAAAGATCCTTTGTTTAATATTAAATTATATATGATTGTTAGAGGATAGGTGAAAATGACAGTCTGATAGTAAGAAACCAGGAATGTGGTCATGTCGAGAAGTTAAGTTCGATTTGATTTTCTTTAAGGCATCAAATACTTCCGACTCACTAACCGACGAGATATGGAAGGAGGTATTAAAGGATTCATCAACAAATTTCTGAAAGTCATCAGTATGAAAATGAGACTGAGAGAAGCTAGCACTAAAGTGCCTAGCGAAGGCATCAACAATGTCAGAAGGATTACAAAGCGTTTCGCCCAGATAGTTCATTCTGGAGGGAATACCAGACCGTTTTTTAAGATTATTTATATGCGCCCAAAATTTCTTAGGATCCTACTTTATATTTAATTCTAGTTTTAGTGAATAATTGTTATATCCCCTCTTAATAACACCCTTTAACTCCCTACGTGCGGATCTAAAGTTTAGGAGGTTAGTCTCGGTCTTATTCGATTTATATTTAGTCCAAAGTGTCCATTTGAGATTAACCATTTTAATAGCGTCCATCGTAAACCAAGCAGGGTAAGAAGAATTACGACGACGGTGAGTTTTCGGGACATAACTATCAAGGATTGAATTAAGTTTGTTATACTCGTAGAAAAGGAGCAGATGGTATTGACATCAGTGACATCCTTCAAAAAGTCCCAGTTAACAAGACTAAGCTGTTCGTAAAGATTATGAAAATCGGCTTTGCGAAAATTTCACTGTGCATTTGAAAACTCACATGTCCCTATGACTTTTGTTTCAGACGACTGATATTTAATTAAGAGGGAGGGACGATGTAAGTCTTCAGATAAAAGATAATCTTCAGATTTGTCTACCACACATTGCTGGTTAGACAGAACCAAATCCAAGACTCTGCCATAGTTATTAGCCACCTTGTTGACATATGTTGCCTATGCAAAAATTGTCAGGAGTGAACAGATAAAATTAACACCCTGTATACGAAGCGAATCAAGAGCATATTTCGCCGAGCATGCAGTGATGTAAAAATAAATCTCTTTGAAAGATCTGCTTGAAGTTGACTGGGCATCAACCCTCAAGTACAATACTATATCCGAAAACTGGGAAACGTTTAAATCTCAGCTTCAAGAACTAACCCTCCTTAATTCCATTCGTAGAGTATTTATGAAGTCCACCAAAAAACCTTGGATTAATGATCAATTGGTTAAAATGATTCGGATCAAAAGAAATTTGTGGCGCTCCTTCAAACGTACTGGTAACGTGGTAGATTATGCTGCTCACCGAACTTTTTCAAATCAGTTAGCTTCGAAAATTAAAAGCGCTAAATCCTCATATGAAGCTCAACTTGCTCGAAATAAAAACCCTAAGTCTTTTTACAAATATATTCGTGATACTCTTGGAGGATCAGTTCGGAAACCACAGTTGAGAGACTCCACTGGTGCATTAATTTCAGATAAT